GCTTTCGTTGTCAACCCAGTAAATAATGAATTTTATATCATTTGTTAATAGATATCTCATCTTGTCCACGGGGGTGCCCCGTTTTACCCCATCCGTGGAGCAAGATGGAGAGAAAAAAACTTTTCTGAATTATTAATTTTTTAGTATGAAAAACTTTAAAGAAATGGTGTAGTTATAGTTTAATCGAAAGACTGATTATTAAAGAATAATTAAGAAGTAAGATTGTTTTGTTGATTATGAAAATTTGTGTTTTATCTATCATTAAACCTATCGCGTTTTGCCCCACCTTCCCCTATGAGTTATATTATCATGTTAAATATAATTTACATCTTTTCTTGCTCGTAATTGATCTTTTCTAATTTTATTAGACAATTCGTATTAACTTACATTAATTAAAAATACGATTATTAATTTAATTAGCAATAAGGCTTTTACAGTCATTCGCAAAAATAAGTGGAATTTTAATGACAAAGTTGACTCCAATTGACTTCTACTATATAATACATGCACAAAACGTAACTATAGACATGCGGTGTGTATGCATTAGAATAACTGTCGTTAAGATGATAAGTGATTTTCTTTGAAAGAGCGTGGCTCGTGAAATCGATCTCTGATGACGATGAGATCAAATCTTGTCACTCGATATTCTACGTGGCTGTTAGACACGAGGATAATCTGAAGCTTTGCCATGCGTCACGTATTGAAAAGCGACCAAGGCAGATGCTTTTGAGCTTCCAGCTTTTATCGCCGTGTCTGCGGTAGCTTCAAATAATTTACGCTTCTTTAAAAGACTTCTTTCGCAGCTTGATGCTCTTCCAGTGCTCTCTCTTTCTCTCTCTCTCTCTCTCTCTCTCTCTCTCTCTCTCTCTCTCTCTCTCTCTCTCTTTCTTTCTCTCTGTCTGTCTGTCTGTTCGAACTATATTTCAATCGGTAACTTTTAATAGAAATAGACTCCAGATTATTTTCTTATTTTGACGTTTGTAATACGCGCACGACAAAATTGTTTTTGTTTTTTAATAAACGTACAAACGGGATTGCGAATTATATGAAAAAGTGAAACAATATGGTTTTGTATTCTTTTGCCAAATTATGGATCTTTTAAAACTACAAAATAGGTATGTAAAATTCAATTTTCCAAGGAAGTATGAAAATTTTGAAGGAAAATATTTTCCAATATTATTCTATTTATACGTGGAATTTGACTTTAGAAGTTTTAATTAAAGAGATAATTGAAAACTTGCACCAAATAAGGTGAACTCTCTCGGAGGTATTTGCTTGTAAGTACACAAAGTATTGAAATCTAGAAGAAACTAAATACCATGCGTTGTATACATTTATAAAAAAAAATCTTTTCGAAGAAGATCGAATTTGTACGATACGCGTTCTTCGTGATAATATGCGTCGAATTGAATAGGTGATTTTAACTCTTCTCGAAATTTCGAAGTTATTTTCTTTGTTGTTAGCTTTATCACCGCGAAATCGTCCGCTGCGTTCTTCCCCTCCTCTTCTCCTAAAAAAAACGACTCCTCTGCGAGGCTGCGCGCGAACTTGATTTGACGAAGCAGCGGACTGTGTGTGACGCTGATCCGGGGTCCGACTGAAACTAGGTTTCTTCACTTCGTTGCGATAACTGGAATCTGACGTGCGCGTGTGTGTGCGCGCGCGTTTCCCTCAACATTTCGAGTATTATTTCCGTCAACAGTTCCGACGATCTCGTAGCTGCAATCGTGTGCGCAATGACAAGGGAGTCTCTCTCGCGTCGAGGTAGTTCATAACAATAACATAATTCTCGGATGCCGTTTTATTATACGCACGGGAACATTCACGAGATGAATCCCGTCGTATTATCGCGACGCGGTGATTGTTACACCGGGACGAGATTAAATTAAATTAAATTTATATACAGCGAGAAAAACAACGCACGCTCTGTGCGCAAAACTGTGTTTTGTTCCGCGGAGAACTTATGAAATTGTATCGCGGAATAATTTTGAAAGATTGTCGCGCGTTTTTATTGAATTCCGAAGCGAAAATTCGGTCAAATAAAAATGCTATCTCTCGCGACTCGCGAGGGAGACAAACTCGCAAGTTTGCGCGGCGGCGAAAGTTTTGTGCGCCGCCGCGCCGTATAGTCACGTCTTATACAGGGTGATTCAGAACAACCCGTTATCCTTGAAAATACATATTCTTGACTAAATTCTAAGACAACTTTTTATTTGGCAAAATTTTGTCTGAAGCTTACTTTTTGAGTTATTAATAAAAATAGTTGACTTACCACAAGTCGGATGCAAGAGGTAGGCAGGGACGGCGCAACTCACCGTCAGAGACGCGGGCGATTACGTGTGGTGCCTGACGCGATCAGCTGATTGCTACGCATTGTTTCTGTATCTTTTTCTGTCTCTCTCTCTCTCTTTTTTTCTCTTACTTATTTATTTACTCATTCGCAATTTGTATCATTTAATCCGTGCATCACATAAATCACTGTCAATCACGGTGAGTTGTGCCGCCCCTGCCTACCTTTTAAATCCGACTCATGGTACGTCAACTATTTTTATTAGTAACTCAAAAAGTAAGCGTCAGACAAAATTTTGCCAAATAAAAAGTTGTCTTAGAATTTAGTCAAGAATATGTATTTTCAAAGATAACGGGTTGTTCTGAATCACCCTGTATAACAAAATTCTCTGAGAGAATTCTCGAGTGTATCGAAATCGAAAGCAAGTGTGAGAGTACGTGTGTATGAGGGGGGGTGCAACGCTATATATTATTATTACTTCGCCGTAAGGAAACGGTTTCGCAACTCGTTCATTTCTGACTCCCATACTTGAACACAATTGTATATTCGCAGATATATACCGAGAATTAAATTTTAATTAAAATCTTTTTTTTCGAGAGACAATTAGAAGCGAAATCTTCAATCAAGACCATAATTGATTAATCAAAAAATTATAATTTAACAAAATTTGCGTAAAAAGAAGTTAATTATTGAAACATAAAATATTTTGTTGTGTTTTGCAAACTAGATAAGATATGTGTGTCACTTTTATCGCTAGATTGATTTAAATATAAAATCTGTTCTCATAAATATTCATGACTCGTGCGAAGAATTCGAGATGTCACACTGTGTCTACAGTTTACGGCGCGATTTTGAATAGAGTGAAATCGGAACAACGGAACGGGCTTAATGGTGCACAAGAATTGGCGCGCAAAAGGGGGAATCGTTTGAAGACATACGTGTTCGTGTAAAATTTGTCTCTGTGTTACTACTGGTTCTCTCGCACTCCGATGCAATTTCGATGCTCTTTGTATCGCCCGCCGTGAGGCCGCGAATTCCGGACGAGCATTCGCGCGCGCCCTTCAATTTATTTCCGCTTCTGTTTCGATGCGCGGTACAGCGCCACCGGCATCCTCTGTTCGTTTACGAGTTGCAACCGGTATAACATCGACGAAGGGAAGTACCCGGGGCGGGAGCGATAGTATCAGTTACGGGAGATAGAAAGCCAAACCAGCTTCTCTTTTAGCGTCACGTTGCGCGGTGCGGCAAATCGCTCACGTAGTTGATTTATCAAAGGCGAAGGAACGTGCATTTATAACCGAAAGAACCTCTTTTTCTCTGACGCACATTTTATTTCATGACGCAATAAAAGATAGAATTGTATATTGCTACTTGCCACGTAACATTTCGAGGACTTTATCGTTGGATATCGTTGTAGATTTTTATGTTTGTAATTTTCCTTAGGAACAGGAACGTTACACCAAAAAATCAAAATTACGTAACACCGTACGATCATATTTCAATGTTTTTCGCCGACTTTTTAATTTTTCGATAATCGTCGATAATTTGATTTTCTGTTTAATGCAAACAGAATGTTCGGAATTTGGCGGAATAACGATTTAGGTAATTATCGGATATTGAAATCGACCGGCAATAACGTAGCGTTGTGTAACTTTGTGTCGTAGTAGCGATGTTAAACTAATTACACCGGAATACGCGATACATCACGTGAAAATTTATTTCGTTGAATTTCATGGTTGTTGCGGCAAATTATTTCGGTTGTGGAGGCGCACTATGTGTATATCGGGCGATTTTCATACGTAATATTAGTAATATAATATCCGTGCTGTTTATCCGATACAGCAGCAGCACCTGTTCTATAAATTAGCGAATCAACAACACGATTTCTGTTAACTTTGCAGCGTTGATCGATTATTTCGTTGATATTAAGCGAACGAATATCCTGGGAATTTTCGACATGAATAATTTCGCCGGTTATACATCTATGGAATATCTGCGAATCGCAGGTTTAGATTGTTATCGCGAATATTACGCGTGCTCCGCCATTTATCACGAGGTAAATTGACGGTGACGTTATCCACGGTAGAAAATATTGTCGGGCGGTTCCGTTCGCGAGCGCAAAACTCATAGTTCGCTCGTAATTCATCAATCAGAAACAGGAAGAGCGAATATCTTGTTCTTTCCTCCTTTACTCTTTCCGTCGCACTCACTTCGTATTATTTAATGGATGTTTTTTGTTTCTTCATTGACAAAATTTTATTTTTCTTACATGAGATTACCAAGAAAAATTGATTCTGCTATATAAATTGCTTTCTCTGTTTGAAGATATATTTGACTTAGAAATGAAAAAACCCACAAGACAGTTAGTTTCAGATTTCTCAGATTTCCGCTTCTTATTTTTCTCGACTTTTCAACGTTTTACATTTTCTTGTGAAAACTTTCTAAAGTTTAACCTTCTTTTGTATGTAGCTTTGAAGAAATGACACACTTGGCAGAGCATTTAAAAATTCATGAAAACAAAAGAACTTACGGACACACTTGCCTCAGTAAGTGTGTCTCAAAAATATTTAATAAAATAAAATTTGTCCACCGAGATTTCACATGGCACACAGTTTTACATTTTTGTTTTTTAATTTTATATTTTCGAAAATCTTACTGGGCAATTGTGCTGATATTTAAACACTACATTTGTTCGTCGTTTAACTTGCAGGACTCGGAGCTGTGCATCTCTCTCGGTCTAAGCTTGCAGTATCTGCGGGTGTCGGTGGTCTGTTGGTTGGCGGCGATGTGTCATCATCTATACGCGACCGTGGCGTCGCTACCGCGCCGTGACGACCCGCCAACGTACGTGAAGTACAGCCTGTTCGCTTGGGGCGCGCCGCTCATCAGCCTCGCATTGGCGACTTTTCTGCAGAGTCACGAGAGCCACGATTTCTGGAATATCGTCGATCTCATCCCCTTCAATTGCTGGTAAGATCCCCTGACTTGTTGACATTATTAACGAACGTTTAAGCACGGATTTCTTGTTAATCGGAAGACTTTAAATCAAGCGACATGAACACGTTTTAATTCGCTCTTGCTCTTTCTCTCTCTTTCCCTCTTTCTTTCTTCTTTATTTTTTTCATCTCTTTTTTTCTCTACGAAGCGAAGTAATTTGCAGGAATAAATGATGGAGTTTTTGCATCAAGTTTTTTTTGCTTGTATTGTCAGCTACAACTTCCTCGTTATCCTGTCTTTCTAGTCCCCGCGTGTGCATTTATCCGCTTGAAATTTCCTCCCAACACGGCTCATTTGCTCTCCCCTTCCGTTTGCAAAGCCAGAGAACTGGAATTCTTTATACCGCGCTTTATTCTCTTGCGTTCACTTCTTTGTTTGTGTGTTTTTTTTTGTTTTTTGTTTTTTTACACCACGTCAGAAACGAAGTATTGGACTACATTTCCTACATGTTTCGTTCTGAAGTTTTTACTTTGAGTGTCGTTCAAACATTGCAAAGTAAACAGTGAAACACACACATAAATACAATTTTCAAAAGAGAACACGATTCATGTGGAGCATGATAGCGAGGAAAAAAGTTGGCTTTGATGCTTTTACCTGACATTTATTTAGTTCGGTAATAGTTCAATTTCAACCAAGTCTATTCTGTGTATCTTTTGATCGAGTGAAAATCGCTTCCGTGGTTGCGCGAAACTTACTGCGCCGGGAAAATTGCCACCGTTTGTGTCGCGAACGAGCAGTTAATGGACCAAGCGCACAACTCGCTTTCTCTCTCTCTGTATTCCTAATATGTGCATTCCATCGTTCGTGTCGTAACCTACTTTATTCACCAAAGAGGAGAGAGAGATAAAAGGACTGGGAGATAGCAGGTAACGATGACGGAACTCGGTTTCCCCAAACCGCGAAGAATCCTCTGTGAGAGCGCGCGGGCTGAGTTTCTTTTTCCTATACGCTCGAACTCGTCGGGATATTAGACGAGCGGAGAGCGGAAAACATCGCGTTTCACCGGAAATGTTCTCTGAAGGAATTTCGCGTATATACACAGCGCACATTATTTATTTGTTTGTTTCCAGATTCTTCCGTTTCTTGGTGCTTTCCTCTTCAATTCTTTCTTTCTCTTCTCTATCTACCAGCGACAATTTCCGCTGCAAGATGTCGAATCAAATTCTGATTAACAACGGCAAACTGTAATATTGAATTTTTATTTTTGTCGCTAAAAAAAAAATATTACTAAACATTCTATATTAAAAAGCTACATTGAGGAAAATAAGAAATTGTCTCACATTTTTCTCTATAAGCTTATAATAAGACGATTTTCAAAACATTACATTTATTTTTTTAATTTTTATTATACATAATTTTATTAATTTACATGTCGATTTTATAATTTGTATGATTTTTTTATTTCTACGCTCATAAAATAAATGTTGGTAAATTATTTGCACGAAGTTTTATAGGTTTTATATATATATCTACGCACTTCTATGTTGTTGTAACCCGAGTCGAAATTTAGCATCTACAGTGAACCTCAATTTTTGAAAAAAGGAAATTTCGGACGTATATAGCAGCGTCAAAGTAGGATCTACTTTCTCTCTTACTCCTACATAAAAAAAGAGGAATTGAGGTTTAATGTAGACGCTAAATTTCGACTCGGGAAGTATCGTGTCGATTCTATTTAAATTGTGTGTAGAAGAATCTCTTTGCAAAAATTTCAATTCGAAGAACGAAATACACAAACATTCGCGTTGCGGAGTCTCCTTTTATCTTTATTTCTGTCTCGTTTGGTTGAATATCAGACGCAATCGAGAAGAATAAACGACAAAAAGTATTTCTTGCGATATGTATATACATATATACAGGGTCCGCCACTTAAATCCGGACAAAAATTTTTTTCTCGAAAAAGTTGTTTATTACAGAAAATATGAAAAAACATTAATAGACTGCTTTATAGCTGGGTTAAGGGATCTTTTCTGAGACATTTTACTCAATGTATCCGCCCTGCGCCT